CTCAGCATCAGGAGCAAAATGGCTGGTGAAAAGGAGGCCGCACCGGTTCATTGCTTCTGGGTGCGCAGGGCGTGTCCAGCCCCAGTGAAAAGTCCCTCGGCAAGTATTGGTGGTTTTTAAGTGAGCTCTTCTTTTCTCTCTGTGGAGTCACTGTGAAATGCTTGGCGTGCAACATTTGGACGTGTATCTCTCTGCAAGTGGGTTTGGAAAATGGAAAATGGAGGTGGTGGTTTGATGTAAGTGTTTTGGAAGTGGAAGCCGTGTGTTGTTGCTCAGTGTTTTTTTCTTTTTTCGCAGTAATTAGTTTCTCAAACTGTCTCTAGTGATTACTGTGATAATTGTGTGATTGACACTGATTGTACAAATTTCTGTGGTTCTACAGCAGTCTGGGCTTTTTGATTTTCTCTCACCAGCTAAAGAGACCTTGTTCTGTTTGTGTTTGTTGATCACACAGCGTCCTGATGGCCCGCAGGTGTTTGAGTACAGGGATTGGCAGATACCACTTGGACGGCGGTTCAGGTCAGAGCGCGTCAGACTGGATGTGCAATGTGCATCATTTGCTTTTCTTAAATTTCTTTTGTACTTGTATCAGCTCGAACGTTGAGCTAGAAAAAAAAAGAGAAAGCCTCAGAAAGGAAAGCTGTGATTTTGAGTGTTATGATGTTATCGAGAAAGAATTTCTGCATGCAATCTCTCTCTAGGAGAGGGTGGAGCACTGGAGCTTTATGAGGGGGGAGGGAGAAGGGGTTAGCAGAGCCCTAAATTTTCAGGAGGGTTTTTAAACTTTTTTCAGGGTCATTATAACGAACATCCCACACCTTTTAAGCCAGACTTGTCACCAGTCCATAGAGTTGAGACCAAATAAACCAACTGGCAACAGCAAAAAAAAACAAAAACAAGAGTTAAAAAATGGATCAAAGGGAGCTTAAACCCCGAGGCAAAAGTGTGTTTTTCATGCAACCTGGGGCTGAAAAGTTGTGGTCCCTGTTAACCGCTTGAGGGGGGAGGGGGAAGGAGTGGGGGGAGGAAGAAGGTGACAACAATCATGAACAATGCAACCGCCGGCCTTTTTACCGTAATCACGAGATCTTTTTCCCTCTCCTTTTCCGTTTGGGAAAATTTCGTGCAGGCCTCTCACTGACCCTGCCGAGACTGGCATACCCCTATCAGAATGCGCCTGGCCGTTCATGACATTCAGACACAGCAGGATTGGCGCATGTTTCAGGTACATCCTGGTGACAGGTGCATCCTAGGTTTTGCACCAGCAACGAGACCCATAGGTGATTTCCTCTTTCCCCCCCCCCCCCCCCTTGTTATCTGCAAGGACCCCACCTATGACAACTCAGTTTTTTCATGACCCATATGGAAACTCGTTGACCAGCATGCATCAGATGACGGAATTGAAAGAAGAATTGATAAGGCCGAGATCACACCAATACAAGAACACAGTCACCACTGTAGTCTCTTCATGATTAAAGCCCTCTTGTTGCACAGCCCGCTCCCATTAATTTTGCACCTTCTAACGTAGCCATCTTCTTTTTGTTTGGTTTGATACCATTTATCGTTCATTACGCAAATCGCCGATTTTGTCAAAATAAATGCGGCAGAGGCTTGCCAGCACTTCCTTCGTTCGTGCCTCTGCCAATCCTCAGAACCGATGATATGTTACTATATGCGGGATTTCTCAGGAGGACGACATCCGTTATGTGGTGTTGGAGTTACACCACTAATCTTGGTTATAATAAGACCTCCTGATTGTAAAAACCACGTGAGGCCGAAGGCTTTCCATAACGTAAAACCAACAAATACAACAACATAGTAGAAAAAGAAAAAAAAGTTAAAAAAAAGTCGTAGTTCCTGATTCACCCCTGGTATTTCTAACCAGCAGCTGTGACTGCCTACTGTACATTCTTGCTTAGCCTATTCTACTCGTCCACCATGCCACTGAGCTATGTCCTGCTCTTGCCGATAACTGCTTGAAGAATCCGACCACGGGGGGCCTTCCTTCGCCACCCAAGGATCCCCCCTGCTGGTCGCCGGGTAACCAACCCTTCGCCACCTCACCAGGTAAGCAACCAACAACCTTCCAAAGGCCTTCCTTCACCACCCAAGGATCCCCCCTGCTCTATCAGCACCCTTACTGTAGGAGGCTTCCAGCAAGCAACGGTGCCTGCCTGTCTTCTTCCTCGACGCCTAACGATATGGTGCTGGTTGACTGCACATTTGTTCCCCTTCTTAGCGCTACTACACCCTCGCGGCAACCTGAGCGCAAATGTCTGTTTGACTGGCCCAGCCTCAACTTGTATACAGCAGTTGAGCCGTAGGTACTCCCTTCTGGAATTTTCTGGAATTGGCCGAAACTTATGCGGCCCGGGCCGGGTTACCAGGTCCCCTCCTAGGTTTACTGGGTATGTACTTCGTAGACCCGTGACCCAGGGCCTACTGGCCCTGACTGCTGTCTGCCAAGGGGCCTCCCAACTTATCAGCAAAAAAAAACTGATGCGTGCGTACGCCGTATGCATCATAGGCGCATAGCATTCCAGCCATGGGTGCCCTTCCTCCACGCTTCTTCTGCTCCTGTTCCTGTGTTCTGAAGGATTGGCTGTCTGCAGTGCGCAGTGCTGTTTAAATTTGAACTTATTTGAAGTTATTTCTTCTTTATACTTAAAACCCTAAACCCTGGGTATGCTAAACCCCATACCCTGGGTATGGTAAGCCCCATACCCTGGGTATGTGGCATTTGGCAAAGAGCCAGCTACATCTCGTTTTTGGTCTTGATTCCGTTTCAAATTGTATAGCAAAAAGAGAACCTCTTTACATCAGAAGAGAGGTGCTGTATTTCCCGTGTCACACGAACGTTAGGACCTGGTTTGCATAAGAAGAGTCCTTACCGTAATTACCCAGTCTTAAACCAAACCGTCAGTACACGGCCCCAGCGTTGTAGAGAATTGCCCTGTTGCCAACTCCAAAATTTCCGCGGCTCGGGCCTACCGGACCACAATGGATGGCGGAGCCAGCTGAGAAAGAAAAAGTGCACCGCTGGCGGGGTTCGCAAAAGCGTGGTGCGCAGTGCAGTGCCTCCAGACCCGGGTGTACTGGTGGTTCAAGGTGGTGAGCCTGGTCTATAATTCAGTAATCCGATCTGATTCCGTAGGCACATAACTGGGACCCCAACCGCACCCTCCCCAGCATAATAAGTTCTCCACCCTTAGCAGAAAGGCCCTGGTAGGCAGAGCTAAAGAATGCAAGCATGGTACAGGGAGGAGCAGCAGCAGTGAAGAAGCGACTGCCCCATAACTGGAAGAAGAAAGGACGCCTCCTCTTGATTGATGAAGAAAGGGATCCAGGAGGAAGTAGGAGCGTGAACGAGTTCAACACCCTTCTTTCTGGATCAATGTTCTGGATCGGTAGGTCATCGGGTCTGGCCATTCGAATAGGAAAGGAGGTGAATACTGCCAGCAGACCTGATGATGACTGTCGGTGGGAAAATTGGTAGGCCTTTTCCAGGGTCGAGTCCTGGATTGATACTCCCCATTCTCCCAGTTTCCACGTGAAGTCTTCTTTGAGCAATTCTGTCCAACTGTCAGGGACGCTATGTATGATCTTTTGCAGTTTTTCATCCCTGTGGTGGCAACCCTTTAACAGGCTTTTCAGATCTTTTCCCTCCATCCAATTCCTTTTTCCTGCGTCCCAAATGTTCTTCACTTTCCAAATCCCGTGTTTGATCCAAGAGAGCCATCTATTACCTCTGTAGGAGAGTATCCACAGGTGAGATTACCCTCGTCCCGAATCCACGAGTTCGCAAAGAGGGGTTGCATGAGCACCTCCTCTTTCGATCTGGGTTTTTCATCTTCTTGGGCATTATTTCTCTCCAAATCTGAAGTAGGGTAGTCCAGTAGAGG